GGGTTTGAAGGTTGTTTCAGATTCCCCAGCACTGCAACAACAAACCAGAGAGGCTTTGTCTTTATTCATCTCAGAAACAGAGAGTGTGCTCAGTATAATGGGGATTTTCAAAGTAAATAGTTCTGGAGCTGTAATTTACTCTTGAGTCTCAAGCTGACTTCTTCTACAGAAACAGAAACCATCGTACCTGAAGTGACTTGATTGGAGGAACGTAAGGAGGCCGACGGCGGTAAACGCGTCAGTCCCAAATAATTTCCACTAGGAGAAACGTGCTGCATCTTCAGAAAGGATGCAGATATAAAAACCCAAATGTTCCACATGAAGAAACATCTCCAGCAACTTGACAGCACATGCAGCATTTAGAGAACATTCAGCAATTTGACAACACATGCAGCTTTTAGAGAACATTCAGCAACTTGAGGAGACATGCGCAGCGTTTACTAAAAGCTGCAGAAACCAAACGCTGCAAGAAGCTCAAACACAACGGAGACCAGGGGACACTAAAGAGTGACGCACACAGCTGGGAGACCAGGGGACACTAAAGAGTGACGCACACAGCTGGGAGACCAGGGGTGTTTCTCAATCGCGAGTAAAGCTGCTTCAGAGCCACTATTTCAAGCATACTACGTCATCGAGTGCCGCCGAAGTACTGTTCCAATCTCCAGTATACTTGGAAATCTACCGAGCCCGGCGTACTCCGTTTGGAGAAATATCGAGTCTGCACATGAGTAGACTTCGCAGTCTTAAAATCCCCACAATGCTTTGCGCACGGACCAATTTCCCCAAATCTGTGGCGGAAGATGTAAGGCGGGGCCTATCATATGACGCACACCTGCACACTTGCTAGCGTGTTCCACACTTCGTTTTCCGAATGCCAGGAAATATTCTTGACTCGCTTCTGAAGCAAGATGCTCGGCAGACATGTGCTACCAAGCAAGCGTACTCGCGATTGAGAAACACCCCAGGGGACACTAAAGAGTGACGCACAAAGCTAGAGACCAGGGGACACTAAAGAGTGACGCACACAGACCAGGGGACACTAAAGAGTGACGCACACAGCTGGAGACCAGGGGACACTAAAGAGTGACGCACACAGCTGGGAGACCAGGGGACACTAAAGAGTGACGCACACAGCTGGGAGACCAGGGGACACTAAAGAGTGACGCACACAGCTTGGACCGGAGCGCTTGGTGACGTTCAGGATGATAAAGTTGGACAACGGTCTCTGTTTACTTACCTACAGTGTTTTATGTGCATCCAGTTTAAGATAACAATGATCCCACTTAATATCCAGTGGCTACGAACCCTTAAATATTTGTCCTAGTCCCAGGAGGCTGATCCGTCGTCGCACCGTTAGCCAATATGCTACGAGATTAGCTCCTTCAGCTGCTCCCAGTGTCACTGTGTTGTCAAAGCTTGGCTCCAGAACTGGCTTCTGTTGGCCGGGCCACCGGAAAGGCTTTTATTTCCAGCAGGAATGAAAGAACTGGCGGATGGCAGCCTCCCCGACCAATTAACCTTCAGATGGTTTCTGTTGGCCGGGCGGCTTCAGATGCCTTCAAGCTCTCTCAACTAAAGACGGTAGGAAAGAAAGAGCCGGAGCTCTGTTCGAGAGGAGCTCTCAGATATTTCTGCAGACAAAAAAATGATTTAAAAAGAATGCTATTCGTTTGTTGTAATGTGTTCTGTTACTAAGACCTCTCAGATCATCGGCTCAATGTCCAAATGAAAGCAGTATTCAGTTGATAAGCTTCTGAAACACACTCGCAGAAAGCCTCAGGTCTGCTTCTTGTTGTATTTATTATTGTTTACACCTGCTCACATTGTTATTTAAAAAAATCATACTTATAACTTATATCTCTCTTTTTGTTTTTGTCTTGCATTTTCATGTCCTATGTACGTTTGAGTTTATGGAAACATCACATGTCAACAAGCCTTATTCAGAGTGCTAGAAACAAGCTAAATGGACCTATATATCTCTTTATCAGGTATTTTCGACCAATCAAAGCTCTTTAAATACTACGAGTCATTTACCCATTCATGCAGAGCAGCACCACTGGCTTTAGGGAAGCACACACACACACACACACACACACACACACACACACACACACACACACACACACACACACACACACCGACACACACACACACACACACACACACACACACACACACACACACACACACACACACACACACACACCGACACACACACCGTTGGCCATCAGGACTCAGGAGCACCTCAGGGTTCAGTGTCACATCGACATGTTGACTTCACGGGCTGGGATCGAACCAACAACCTGCTGGTTCAGAGACGACGCACTCCCTCTCAGCCAAAGTCGCCCACCAGAAGAATAAGACCGGCATAAAACACAAGAACATATAGCCACAGTGCTGTATAAGAAATACATAGTCATTTGATTTAATAAAAGGCAGAGGAAAAGTAAGTACTTAAAATGTGTAAAAGAATCTAGTCTTCTTCTATCTGACATAATGCCATTTATCGGTGTGTTTAGGTGATAGCTGACACCAACATTTAAAGTTATAAACAAACACATTTCCTCTGTAGTTTAGAAAACAACCTCTCCCCTCGCTTCTGTTTTTGGGTAATCTCTGAGATCTTACACATGTCGTATTTGTGAGTTTAAAAAACCAATCATGCAAATTAAATCCATTATAAAAAGAAGAAGAAGAGATGTGACTCCTTGACTTCTTCACACTTTGTCTGTCGTCCAATTTATTTCCTGCTAATCCGTTAATCTCCTCTTCACGTCCTCACTTTGCCTTTCAACATTTCATTCATTATTTATTCATCACAGAGAGTCTCAAACCACATCACATGCTTCAGAGGTCAGTAAATAACAGGGGCAGTAGAAGCACTCAGATCTTGTACTTGAGTAAAAGTAGAAGTACTCAGATCTTGTACTTGAGTAAAAGTAGAAGTACTCAGATCATGTACTACAGTAAAAGTAGAAGTACTCAGATCTTGTACTTGAGTAAAAGTAGAAGTACTCAGATCTTGTACTTGAGTAAAAGTAGAAGTACTCAGATCATGTACTACAGTAAAAGTAGAAGTACTCAGATCTTGTACTTGAGTAAAAGTAGAAGTACTCAGATCATGTACTACAGTAAAAGTAGAAGTACTCAGATCTTCTAGTGAAAGTAGAAGTACTGAGATCATGTACTACAGTAAAAGTAGAAGTACTCAGATCATGTACTACAGTAAAAGTAGAAGTACTCAGATCTTGTACTACAGTAAAAGTAGAAGTACTCAGATTGTATTAAAGCTTCTGATGGATATCATCTTGGTGTCCAGAATAAATGACCCAGAGGATGAAATGATGGCTCTGTTTACACGTGATAAAAACGTGCAACCTGTTTTATAATCACAACTGAACAGCTTGTACGTTTCAATGGTACTTTTTTGACATTCTGTACTTGTACTTTACTTGAGTATTTCCATTTAAAGCTACTTTATACTTCTCCATTACATTTCAGAGGCAAATATCGTACTTTACACTGTGTTACATGTATTTGATCACTAACAGTTATTAGTTAAATTGTATGCTGATATGGGATGACGCAGTATTGTACTACTAATCTACACAGTCTTTCAAGTATCTACATTTGTTAGCCATTGTTAGCGAGACCGGTTGCTAACTACACTTTATTTTGTGAATACAAACATGGTAGCAACACGGATAGAGGATAAGCAGAACCATGTGTACATTTGATTTAATGTGACATACATAATACAGAAGAGCTAAAAATGTTATATTATCAAAGTGTTCTCTTCGTGTTCACATGCAGGGACTCCATATTGAATGATGACGGGTGAGGAATCTCCCAGTTTCCAAGCAGGAAGTGCGACCTCTTCTTGCACTATTTTATCTGTTTTATTGTGTTGCACTGTTGGAGGATCCTCAGATTGTCATTGACATAACTTCACTGTAGCTTGTGCATATTTGAATAAAAGCCTTGAATCTTGAGGGGACGTTCCAGTTCAAATTTCAGACTGGGAACTCACATACTCCAAAGAGGAACGTCTTCATATGAACATTTCATAGCTCTCCATCAAATGGTTGTGGAGATATTTTAGTCTGGAGATAATTGTTGGACCATCTGTACATCCGCTATGCTAGTGAGGCTAAACATGTTATATTTCAAAATGTAATCTGCATTATCCCAGATGTTGCAGCAGATTGAGGAAGAGACGTTATACCATCTGTTTCTGTCTGTAATTATACTGCTTGTAAGGTGAGGGGTGGGCGCTGGGGGAGGTGAGTGTTTGTCACCTGATGTGTTGGAGGTACTGGTTTTAGTTACAAAAGAATCAGACAACTGGTCAGACCTGGCCTTCAAGTATTCACTAACTGACGTATTTTTAAACACCTTGTAGTGAGATAACTGTATTTACTGTAAAGTGGGAGAAGTACTCAGATCTGGTACTTGAGTAAAAGTAGAAGTACTCTGATCTTGTACTTGAGTAAAAGTAGAAGTACTCAGGTCTTGTATTTCAATAAAAGTAGAAGTACTCAGATCTTGTACTTGAGTAAAAGTAGAAGTACTCAGATCTTGTACTTGAGTAAAAGTAGACGTACTCAGATCTTGTACTTGAGTAAAAGTAGAAGTACTCAGGTCTTGTACTTGAGTAAAAGTAGAAGTACGTCTTGTACCTTTTACTCTAAATGCACTGCATTATTCTGTGGCCACAGTCCAGTTATTCTGTAGAATAATATCCTCCAAATGTGAACCACAGACTGTATCTTTCCTCATTTCTGTCCGTCTGATGTGTTTCATGCAGCTCTGGCAGTACGTTAACACATTATCCCCCACCCCCCAGTGTCCAGCCTGAGTGTGGCACTAATAACCCCTCATACTCGGCGACCACCGCACTACAGCAGAGACTCCCTCTCAGTTCCTCTCTGCTCAGCAGCTGCTCTGTACTCTCTGTGATCAAACCGTTATTCACCGGATCAATAAGAGCTATCGGAGCCATGAAGCTCCTCTGCAGCATATCCACGGTTTCCCTGCTGCTCTTCTGCCTCCCAGGTGAGAACATTTTCAGCCTCTTTTTTATTTTATTTTCACATTCAAAAAGATTGGATTCATAGGATAGTAAAAAAGAGATTAAAAAAAGAAATGTGGAGTTTAACATTTTCTTTTAAACCCCAAAGCTTTGGTATCATTTAATCGGCAGCTAATATTATTAACAAAAAAATACAAATACTGCTACTACAAATAATATTAATAAATTATAATAGTTTTGCTTCAGAAATGTGTTTTCATGTGTTTTACAAAAGTTGTACTCTGTATTTTGAATTATGCTTCAACTGTTGTTTACATTTTCTAATCAAATGTTGTTCAATTAGTGAATAACGGAAAAAAGCGTCCAGCATGATGCCTTCAAATGTTCATATGCTCTGTTTGTATGCATATTTAGTTCTTGAAAAATGACATTGTCCATACTTTCATCACAAAAGTAATTCTTATTTTTGCCGAGGGGGGGGGGGGGGGGGGGCTTTTATTGTGAAGGAATGCATAAGTTATATTAGGATAATGGCTCTATGGAGGAACCATAAAAAGACCCTTTGTTTAACAATTGCTCACTCATATCTTGAATTATTTGAAGAAAACTCTGTTTTGATGACGGCTGTGGCTCAGTGGCTTAGCGCGTTAATCTTCAGATCAGGGGAGCACTGGTTCGATCCCCACTGCAGTCAGCATGTCGTTGGGAAAGACTCCTGCCCACTGTATTGAGTGTATGTAAGGCAATTAGGATAAAAACGTCTAACAAGTGACATGTAATGTAATGATTTAAAGTGATTGAGAGCTGTCTTTAACAACAGCTAAAGTATATCTGTTTACAAACTCTTAGACAACTCTGGCTGAATAATCCAACTCTTATTTATCCAGTCGATGATCACATCTTCTGTCAGCGCTGCCCCTGGCCAACTTGTGGCCCTACGCAAAGTTGTGTCATGAGGGAGGGGGTGCTAGTGGAGCACGCTCGTGAACTGTGCGAGGAAATTGTGGAGCGCATAATTGCGCTGCATTTGCGCGTAAAATGAGGCCCCACACACTCTGTAGGGAGGGGCGGCCCTGTCTTCTGTAATACCAACATTTTTCTTTGATCAGGCGATATGTCCATGTCTATTTACTGTGGTTCAGGCTTGGAAAGAAGTTTGTTACATTCATAGTGTGACTGATTGTCTGCGTATACTCTCTCACAAAAAGTTAAACCATCCCCCACTTCACTACAGAATGCAATGACAACTTGGTGTTAACCTCTATATGAAAGCAGCATGCCTCACATTAACTCCAACGTAAACCTAACATCATAATTATCAGATAGCAACAGACTGTTAAGGTGGGATGGGGTCGATAGGTCAAACAACAACTGCGTCTGTGCCCGACAGTGAATGACTGACGTTTTCTCTCCTGACGTTTTCTCACCTGACGCTGCATCAGTTACATTACCTTTTTAGCTTCTTTGAAACCCAAACCATGTTTTTTCTGAGGAGTATTTTAAGTAATGTGGGGGGCGACTGTGGCTGCGAGGGAGTGCGGTCGTCTACAAACCAGAAGGTTGTTGGTCCGATCCCAGCATGTCGATGTGTCCTTGAAGATACGGAACTGTTTGGTGTGTGTGTGTGTGTGTGTGTGTGTGTGTGTGTGTGTGTGTGTGTGGGTGGTCTGGTGGACTTGAGACAATGTGAGTGAATGCTGAGCAGTGATGAGAGTTTGATGGCTGTGAGGATTAAAGCCAGGGGCGGACTGGCCATCGGGACGTTCGGGACGAATCCCGATGGGCCGGTACTGAAGTGGGCCGGTCGGACGATGTGGGCCGCTCGGATAAGTCACTAGCACCCCCCCCCGTCGACAATTTCCTCGCGATATTTACTTGCGGCACCGAGGTGGGCCGCTCGGATAAGTCACTAGGCCCCCCCCCCGTTAGTAATTTACCGAGGTGGGCCGGCGGTACCGAAGTGGGCCGGTCGAGAGTCCCGGGCTGATTTGTAGTCCCAGTCCGCCCCTGATTAAAGCCGTACACTGTCCGTCCAGATAAGAGAAGTGACCACCAGAGATAAACCCAGCACATATTCAGGCTGCAAACACGCCACAAAGATTATATCATAATATCATTTAGTAGAAATTGTGCACAGAAGAAACCATGTCCAAAATATAGAAATGTGCATAAGGAAATGTGTAATCCCAGAACAGGGTCAGGAAAACCCATTTGTACTTCTTCTACTGCTAATACATGTACACACCACATTTTACATAAACATTTATTTTATTCTGACCATATAACAGGTTATCAGTTTTATTAATACTGTACACTGGACTTTTTAATGTATTGGATTGTATTTTAATACATTTTACAGGGGCTTTGTTGTGGCCCTAACTCTCTTTTTATCACTACTTTGCACCAGTCTTCCACAGTATTATAGTTTATCCTCTGCACCATTTTAAAGTTTAAGACTCTCATTGTTTACTTGTGTAATTTTCTTTTTATACATTTTTTAGAAGAGGTTTCATGAAAATCGGGCCAATAGGTTTTCCGTAATTCTTGGAAGTCGTTCTTCGGACTTTGGTGTGTTCATGAGCTTCGAGACACAATGTGGAAAGAACACATTGATATCTGTTTCAGGGTTGTTTTTTTTTCAGTGTCGCATCTTCCAATAAGTCTGTCACAACATTAATAATATAATGTGTGTATAAGCTCCAGGATTTGGACTTGTTACAACATTTAATGGCTTTTTCCTTGGCCCAAGCTTTACCCTTCCACCAAGTCTGATGAAATTGGGCCAGTAGCGGTAATTAGTCGATGTTAGGACCAATATAGGACAAAAAACAACAACCTTGTAAATGCCATTACATGCAGCACGTGAGCAAACTGTAAATAAACAAGACCCAATCTAACATCTTTTACACATCTTTACAACAGACACGACTGAAGTAATGGAACTGATTTCTAGAAAGAGCTTCACAATCAACAAAATGATGACACACACAAACACAGGTCATATTGACTTAACATGCCATCATCTGGTTTTTGTTCACTACACCCTGACGCACTGCTTCTGGCCATCTGTGCACATGTGATGTATGGACTTAGTCGTTACTATGAGCAAGGCAGTGAAGATGATGAATATGTGCTGCATTATGTGTGTGTGTGTGTGTGTGTGTGTGTGTGTGTGTGTGTGTGTGTGTGTGTGTGTGTGTGTGTGTGAGTGTGTGTGTGTGTGTGTGTGTGTATGTGTGTGTGTGTGTGTGTGTGTGTGTGTGTGTGTGTGTGTGTGTGTGTGTGTGTGTGTGTGTGTGTGTGTGTGTGTGTGTGTGTGTGTGTGTGTGTGTGTGTGTGCCAGCTGGCATGCTTTCAGACCCGTTAGCCCTCACACTTCAGCTCCTCTGAGAGTTGACGCTGAGTCATGAGCTCGCCGGACCGCGAAGACATTTGGACAATGAACAGAGACTATGAGAGGCGGAGCTGCAGGTTTGTTTACACAAAGACTTCAGGGTCGTAATGATCCCCACCTGGCAGGGAAGTCGTCAATTAGATGGGCCAATATAGGCCTGTTTCAATGGATCTGTACCGATTAAAGAACATGACCAAAAGCAGATCTCTCACCTCTGCCTGCTTGTGTTTCATCGCTGCTCTAAAAACATAACTAGAAAGTTAGTCGATATTACTGAAATTACTATTCTCGATACTAATTTGATACTATGGTAAAAAACTAAGAGAAAACATCAATCATTCCTGTGTACTCAAACATACACTCTATTGTTACTGCATTTTGGTTTTAGTTAGACAGTTTGAGAGGTCATAAATCCATCTCTACACCTATTTTATATTGATGCTAAAACTGTTTTTATTCAACTTTCTCTGTCAAGTTAGGAGAGGGAGAGTCAAATAACGACAACACACTATCATATAGCATATGGGTTTAGCACTCTACTTTGGATCCTATAGTTGAAATTGTCCGTCTCAGTCAGTAGGGGCTTGGACTGGGAGCTGTAGGGTCGCTGGTTCAAGTCCCTGAACAGACTTAAAAAATATGGAGTGTGGACTGGAGACTTGGAGAGGTCCCAGTTCACCTCCTGGTCCCTGCCGTGGTGCCAGACGCCCCCTCTTTATCAAAGCTTCTTCCAATAAGTGAATTCCACCATGAAGATACTAACTCACACACACACATGCACACACACACACACACACACACACACACACACACACACACACACACACACACACACACACACACACACACACACACACACTGCAAGCTGATATATACTTTAACCCACAAGAACTCCAGCAAGTACATTACCTGTAAAAAAGGCCAAACCTTTTCAAGTGCTACAAAGAGAAATTTGAAATGTCAGTGGAAACCAAGGTGCAGTGGAAACAGATGAGTGTTGGCAGAATAAATTGTGGATTTAAATAAGTGTAAGAGTTCTTTAGGGGTCTGGGTCTGGTAGATGGGTATAGTGGTCTTTTAGTATAGGGGTCTTTTAGAGTTAGAACACCTGTGGGACATATTGGAGCAATAACACTTTCCTCCACCATCATCAAAACACCAAATAAGGGAATATTGTAAGAATGGTGTTCATACCTCCAGTAGAGATCCACATGTATTTCTAATGGACACCTTCTGCCCTGGAGCCGTTTCATCACCTTACAAAGACACTTAATGTCATCAGTCTGTATATACAGTGTACATACAATGGAGATTTGGCCTGTAGTTGTTAGGATATCTTGCCTGGGGTGGAGGTGTTGAACACAGAGGCAGGAAGACTGTTGTCATCGGGCGTTCTGCTAGCTGAGAAGATAACAATGTAGAAAGATTTTCAGTTTAAACTACATTTTTGTTTGCTTGTACAGGTTGCATGAAAACAAGAAGTAGTCCCAAAGAATGCATAATTTCCTCCAGAGTTCAATGAAACTAAAATGAGCGGCTACACTATAATGATTGGGCCTTTTTAACAAGAAACTACATATTAGTGTTTTAAATAAATCAGTCTTTAGTAAATAACGATACTTTTGGACTAACGGGTTGTTGGGTTTGGTCCGTTAATTGGAAATAATAGAAAAAAGTTCCTGCTCAACAAAAACAAAAGAGTAGAGAATATATATCAAGTCAATTAGAGGTAAATACTTAAGTAAGTAAGATAAATGCAGTTAAACAAGTACGCTTGAATAGTAAAGCAATATTGGCTTGAAAAGTAGTGTTGCACCTGATATTTAAAAGATGATATTGTACCCAGGGTTTTGTCTGCATCGGGTAACAGGAGCGCTGCGCCCTCTTACTCTCAGCGTGCGCCCTCAAACCAAAATGCAGATCTTTCCCGTAAAATGAGTGATGCCAGAAAACAATATTTCTGTTCCTCAAAAACGGTATAATCTCAGAAATATGAGAATCAAACAGAGCGTCAGAGACAGCTTGGTGTTTACGGAGAATCATTATGGGATGGATGTCTGAGATTTCTGAGTTTCTTTTCCTTTATTCTGTAGAGGAAGTAAAGAAACCGTAACTCTGGATTTATTTGTTGTTTGAGGTGCAAAATATGACTCTGCAGCTTTAAGACATGAAGACACTATTATTTTCCACTTCGAGAGAGTTCGACCGTCTTTATCGCTTTTCTCATAATGAGATATCCTGTTTTCCATATCTGGAGCTTTACTCCCACATTTCCATATTTGCACAGGATGTTAACACTGTTACAGTCTTAAAGGAGTTTAGTGATATATCACAGTCTCGTTATCTGAAGGTCATTCTCCTGACAGTGCTCTTGTGTGCTTCCTTTTTTGTGCAAGGCATGTTGGTAAACCTCTGTGCTTATTTTATCTGTAATTTCTCCTCCTGCAGGTCTGAATCTCTGTCCTTGGTGTTGGAGGTTCACAAAAGATTTTTCCCACAATCAAACATGAAAGAGCATTTTTATATGATCATTTTACTTATTCAGTGGTTCCAAAACTATAGGTTTGGGGCCCAAGATTATTCTGCTGGGGCATTTAGTGCTAGATGATTAAAACATAGGCAGTGGAGAGGTGGGGGGTTTCTAAAGAACATCAATGCTGATGCAGTAAACTTTAAAAACATAGAGACCATGATTTCTTTACTCAAATTAATTGTATTTGTTGCGTAAACCTTAATTTTGTCGTCTTGGGTTAAATTGATGTTTATCACATACTTATAAGAACTCAAACTTACTTACTTTTAACTCTTACTTTAACACATTTCAGATTCAAATCAGATGTTGTTGGCACTGCTACATAACGGCTTGATACTGTCTGGGCTTAGATACAAAGCACGTTCAGAGTTATGACCGTTTTCAAAAGATACTAACAGATGAACACAGTACTTCTTAAGTGATGGTCTATTTGGAGCCCCTTATCCAGACAATGATGGTAACTCCAGCCTGTTTAACAGAGGATTTAGTCTGCGGTTAACTCCTGCTGTTAGGACCACAGGAGACAGCTTTATGAGTTTATTTCCTCGATAACAGCAAAATAAAACACAACAATTAGAAACTCCTCAAGGTTTAAAGCTGAACACCTCTTAAGACTAAACACTAACTCGCTTGCCACCCAACAAAAACACTGCGATTGTAAATATATTATGCTTCTGAATAATTTCCAGGTAAAAACCTTATATTTCTATTTCTATTTAAACATGTTATCTGAAATCTCTTGTATATTGCTCTTAGGAAGTGTAGGGCTGAAATAAAGTGCATTCCCCATAACACTGCACTGTTTAATGCCTTGCTTACCTCCAGAGTGCACTGCAGCATCCTCAGACCAACCAATACACTGAAGCAACAGAAAGATATTTCTCTCTGACCTTCGAGCAAGTTTCTTTGGCTACTAGAGTTCATACCAGCCTGTCTACAGGAGACTGACTGCAGTTGATAGGGAAGTCTTTGCCGTTAACATATCTTTATAAACTATTTACACAGCTCAAGTGTCGGCTGTTCAAGACGTTTCTTTACTTATATGGTTACAGGACTGAAGATAGTTCTGCCTCCATCAACCTGATGGTTAAGATTAGTCTTCAGTTTTATCTGCCTTGATTTACAGCATGGAGTACATCCGATATTATTGATTCTAAAACATGTATGCCCTTCACATCTCATAGCATCACTCTTTTTCATTACCTTATGGACACCTAATGTGTGTTTACACTATTTATTGGAGAGTTGTTGAGGTACTGTGTGACACCTGCTGCCATTGGTACATGTTCATGATCCTTGTAGTCAGTGACTATCATCATGTCTTATGGTTGCATTGCATTCTGGTACCTGTCAGCTAACCTAACTCTATTTATGTAGATGTATTCAGTGCTCTAGTTTAGGTGCAGTCCAAGGCTGAATCAAAGAGATGTGTTGTTGTTTCTGGGTACCAGGAAACAGGGCTCTGACAGCTTAAGACTACATTTTGAAGACGTTATTATACTCTATTTAATGCAAACCTATTGCATCTTTTTAAAATATCGTTTTGGTTGAGTGGGAAAGCATGGAAAAGTGCAAAACATAGAAAATCTAGCACCTTCAAAAGGTCTGATTCATATCTACATACTCCACATTTAAAAACTGAATGCAAATGTGTTATTTATTGACACAGAAGAGAGGATTGACAATTGAACAGACCCTATAGCATGATTTATTTCCACCACCATTAGCATTAGCTAACAGGATTTAAAGGAATTATCTCTCTGCTGTTCTACAGACACTTTCTTATTCATCTGAAAAACCGCAGGTGATCACCGGGTTAATTGAAGTGGGAAATGTGCTTTCCATGTGTATGTGTTATGGTATGTGTGTATTCAGAGCGCCGCTGTGGGACGGACTGAGCTGCTGGAGATATGAGACATTTCAGGATTAAACAAAGCAGCAGAGAAAAGCTCTTTCTACACACGGTCAACCTTATAACCTTCAAAATACTATTAAAAATAATTAGGTGAACATTCATTTCAAGATGTACAACAAAGTTTGTTAAAAAGCCAATAAGAGAAAAAGAAAGATTCAAATTGGTTCCAAGGATTTAAACGTAATTATGACATACTAGGTACTGTGTAAGCTTTAGGGCAGGGCTACTTTGTGATTGACAGGTTGCTTCCATCTTATAACTTGAAGCCTTTCCCAGTTTCGCTTCATGAAAGTTAATTGTTTCATTTTGGCCCTGAGATATACTGCTTTCGAGCAGTTGTGCTAATCTCCACCTTTGGCGATGGCGATAAACAAAATGTAAAATTAGATGCTTCAAAACCATAATTCACAAACGAATGCGTAACATCACGGTGACTCCGTCTATGGTCCTGCGGCTTGGTTAAAAGACAGAGTTCTTATTTAAATACACACTTGGGTTAATGAGGATCTCATGCTCTCTGTCTTTCTATTACCCAGTGTGCCTTGCTGCTCATGGTCGCTACGCTCAGAAGCTGATGACTGACTTGTTCTCTAACTACACCAACGCCTTGCGTCCGGTGGAGGACACCGACCACATCATCAACGTCACACTGCAGATCACTCTCTCCCAGATCATCGACATGGTAATCACACCCTGACTCCTGATCTTCAGGCTGTGTTTATTATTGGATGAACTGATGTGTATATCCTTTCTCCAGGATGAGCGTAACCAGATCCTGACAACATACCTGTGGGTCCGCCAGGTGTGGAATGACGCCTACCTCACGTGGAAGAAAGAGGACTATGATGGTCTCGACACTATCCGCATACCCAGCAGCTACGTATGGAGACCTGACATTGTTCTGTACAACAGGTTGGTACATCTGATCTGCCCGACTGCAGGACATTTGCAGGACAGAAGAAGGACTAATAAGCACGATCTCATCAATTCAAATGTTTGGTAGTACCAGATTACATGTAATCAGATTATAATCAGCTCAGATCAAATCTGAAACAGAGCAATCAGATCCTAGTTACATTGCCAAGGATACTTGAAAAGATGTTGAATTACATATTTAATATATGGCAATTTAAACATTTGGATTAGTTTCAATTAATTATCATTTGTGGAAGGGGAAAATAAGATTGTGTTGAGTAGGGATTTGGGTAAAATGTATCTTATTATCAACTGATATATCAATAAATGATCATTTTTGTATCATCATTTTTGTTTTCTTTGACAAATATATTAACATGATCATGTTTTGAGGATATTTACCACATTTATTGTTCTTAAATATTTTTCCGTAAATCTGTATAAAATGCTCTGTAGCCGAGACATCTCTGCAACACCATATCATGTGTTACAGAATGGTATTTCTCATTTACCAAATATTGTGCCTCCGGTGATTTGCATATTGCATTAGTCAATTGGAGTTTGCAAAAATAATTTGCATTTAACATTTTTGGTCCATATTTTGGACAATGTTTTCAATGTTTTAAGTAATCCAAAAGTATTTAGATCAGATTAAACGACGTCTATCCAATTGGATTATTTACTAATTAGAACATTTGCCATGTCATTTGTGTTAAGTAACTGACTGCATTTCAAAGTAATCTGACCCCCTGTGATCTCCTGTTCCTTCTCCCTGCCTTCACACCCTCCACTTCCTCCACCACAGTGCAGACGACGAGTTTTCCAGCTCCATGGAGACCAACGTGGTGATTCGTCACGACGGGCAGATAATGTGGGACCAGCCAGCCATCACCAAAAGCTCCTGCTCCGTGGATGTGGCCTTCTTCCCCTTCGATCTGCAGCAGTGTCACCTAACCTTTGGGTCCTGGACTCACAACGGCAACCAGATGGACTTGTTCAATGCCTTAGACACTGCGGACCTGGCAGACTTCGTGCCCAATGTGGAGTGGGAGGTGAGTCACATTGTCAACATACTCAAAGGAAGACCTCAGTCTGACATTATTTCACAATATCAAATTATACTTTTCTCTCCAGGTCCTGGGCATGCCAGCCAAGAAGAATGTAATCTTGTACGGTTGCTGTTCTGATCCGTACCCAGACATCACCTTCAGCCTCCACCTGAAGAGACGGGCCTCCTTCTACATCTTCAACCTCCTCATCCCCTGCATGATGATTTCCTTTCTGGCGCCATTGGGCTTTTACCTGCCGGCAGATTCTGGTGAAAAGGTTTCTCTGGGTGTCACCGTGCTGCTGGCCCTCACCGTCTTTCAGTTGCTGGTGGCTGAGAGCATGCCACCCTCCGAGAGCGTCCCACTGATAGGTGAGAAAACTTAGAGTCCCTGATTTTTAAATGTTGTTATAGATGTCAAGAATCTAATGCAATCTATTAGTTTTTGTAATCAATGATTACAGTAGTTTATTTATATAATAAGGCTAGAACAAGTTCTTTGGAAACGTGAAGGTAGACATCTTTATGCCGCTTCAGAAACGGACCTTGAGACTGGGTTCTCATTAGAGAGCTTTTTGAAGATGACTGACAATCATTGAATTTTGACATTGTCAGAATGAGTTGAGGGCAGAAGGCAGTGGGCGACTCTGAGGCTGAGTGGGTAGTGTGAACACATAAAAAGCAGAAGAGTTTTATGTGATTGTGTTTCAACAGGCAGAACGTTGTCTTGCATGTAGGGCAGCCTTCAAGGCACTGCCCCATAAGTCATTACATCTTGTTTTCTCCTGGAAGAGCACCCTACAGGGTACTTCATTATATTTTCAATACTGTGACTGCTCAACTAGAGGGCACTATATCCTGCTTTATCTTCCCTGAGTCCACCGGTAGCTGGATACACACACAAACAATATGAAACACAAAGTCATAGTTTTCATGTATTATCGATTGTTGGCAAATACTTAAAGCCGCCTGAAAATGGGCACATATCTTTTTGAACCAGTCAACAAAGGCAGGCTAGAGGTTGTGTGTTTGCCTGATGGGCAAAGCCAGAATGCAGTGACAAAGTTGGCGTGTGATTATATCACAGAAACTGAGTGCTTGTGAGAGTGGATTCCTGCCTCCTGTCAAACAAGTACAACTGCTTCTGATCCTTCTATATGTCATTACAGTTTTAACTCTTCGCATTACCATATACTGGTAGTAGATTGTTTTGGGCTTGATAGGGGAGTCCCTTATTGACCCCAACATAATATAAGTGATTGTGTATCTGCAACCGACCTGTCCTAAAATTGCATGTTCTATGGACTCTTGTAAGTTTTGAAAAGAACAAAAATCCATTGTGCACGTACACAACTCCCACCGAAGGAATACTAAAGGTGAGTCAAAATGATAATGATCAAACCAGAAATGCAGTAAAACGTCATCCGGAGAGCTTCAGCAGGCAAAGCAGCACTGGAAAGGCCAGAGATTGAAGAAACACAGCAACAGCAAAGCTGCAGGCGTAATAATTCAACGTTGTCACTGAAGAAAGACTTAACTGAGTTCTTAAGGACCTTTTTAATATCCCGGCAAACGCTCGGCAAAGCACTGGTGAGTAGAGCTGATGATACTTTCTGTAGCTACTAGAGTAGGATTTACACGTACTACTGTTTATTACTATTCATTCTGGAATATCCACGTGACTTTTAACGTAAATGCATTATAAAAAAAAGTGTTTAAATGGAATTACTAGATTGACTGAACTCACAAGTAAATTATTAATTATTAATGAATATTATTTTTGTTTTTTTCACACTTGACTTTTGTTAGTGTGTAGATATGGCCGGCAGCGAAGGTCTAATGAAGGAAGGTCAGTTTTTGTGCCCCATCTGTCTGGAAGTGTTCACTGAACCAGTCGCCACACCATGTGGACACAACTTCTGCAAGACCTGCATCTCTAAAAACTGGGATATGAATGTCCCTGCCCAGTGCCCTGTGTGTAAAGAGTTTGTTCACGTAAGACCTAAGCTACGAGTCAACACATTGATCTCTCAGATGGGTGATCAGATAAGACAGACGGCTCAACAGAAAGCCAGCTGCAGCAACTCAGAGATCAGAAGACATTTCCTGTGCTGTCTGCACTGGAACCAAACTGAAGGCCCTGAAGTCCTGCCTGGTGTGTTTTACCTCCTACTGTGAGACTCACCTGGAGCCTCACCTGGAGCCCCACTTGACAACACCATGCCTGACAAATCATCAGTTAATCAATCCTGTGGAGGAGCTGGAAGCCAGGATGTGTAAGATGCACAATAAACCTCTGGAGCTGTTCTGCAAGAGTGACCAGACATGTGTCTGCATGCTCTTAGACCACAAGACACATGATATTGTTCCTCTGAACGGAGAATATGAAGAAAGAAAGGCACAACTTGGGAAGATAGAGGATGACATTCCCCAAATGATTGAGGAGAGAGCTGAAGGTAGAGAATATCACACGTACAGTTGAGCTCAGTAATAAAGTGGCAGATAAAGAGATAGCAGACAGTGTTCGGGTCTACACCGCTCTGAAGGAGTTTGTTGAGAGCAGCCCAGCTGAGCTCATTGAGAGGATCAGAGCAAAGCAGAGACCGACACAGACACACACACACACACACACACACACACACACACACACACACACACACACACACACACACACACACACACACACACACACACACACACACACACACACACACACACACACACACACACACACACACACACACACACACGCTGAGGGCCGTATCCAAGAGCTGCAAATAGAAATCGTCAAGCTGATGAAGAGGAGTGCTGAGCTGGGGCAGCTGTCAAACTCCGAAGACCACCTCCATCTCATTGAAACGTTTTCGTCCCTGAAAGTCGCTCCCCCCACCAAGAACTGGACAGGGGTCAGTGTCCGTCTTCCATCATACGCAGCAGTTCGCAGTGGATGTGACACTTGATCCCCATACAGCAAATCCCTGGCTAGTCCTGAGGATGGAAAACAAATCCAACTTGGCGACGTGTATAAGGGTCTCCCAGACATCCCTGAAAGGTTCTCTTTTCATGCAAGTGTTTTAGGAAAGCAGAGTTTCACTTCAGGAACGTTTTACTATGAGGTTCAGGTCACAGGGAAGAGTAAGTGGGACATAGGAGTGGCCAGAGAGTCCGTTAACAGGAAGCGACAGATCACGATGAGGCCTCAGGACGGTTACTGGACGGTGTCTTTGAGGAACAAAAATGAGTACAAAGCTCTTGATGACGAGCGTGTCACTCTCTCTCTGAGGTCAAAGCCTGAAAAGGTGGGGGTGTTGGTGGATTATGAGGAGGGTCTGGTCTCCTTCTACGACGTTGATACTGCAGCTTTCATCTACTCCTTTACCGGCTGCTCCTTCGCTGAGAAACTCTACCCATTCTTCAACCCCTGTACTAATGATGGTGGATCCTCTGCCCTCCACCTAAAGTCAAGCTTAACTTGATGCTACTATACTCACGAATGAGAACAAACACCACACAGCCTGTAACTCAGATACATTGGGAATGTTCACTGCTGCTGTTATCTTAAAAGGATGCACTTCATGTTCTTTGTGTTGTGGCCAATAGCAGCAGGTGGTAAAGGATCAGAAACACACTTGTTATACTGAAGAAGAAAGAGCAGGTACACCATCAAGATGTGAAACGAAAACCTCTCATCATTTTCTCTTTTTTTGTATTTGCAAATTCAATCTTCAATCTTCTTGATATTTTTCAAATTCATGGTGTTTGCACCTGGGTTATTTATGCATAAATTAGAAATGTGCATAGACACAGAACTCATTACATGTTTTGCAGTGTTATAGATGACCTACACATACAGTGGTATTTCATCATTTAGATTTGGGTAATTTTGTTAAAACACACACTGGTGCAATTAGAAATAAGCATTTGCAAGTGTTAAATGTTGACATTCCTGTATTCATGGTGACATGTTACACATAAATAAATGTTTTGCAGAAGGAGTTTTGTAGCCTTTCTAAACGGGTTACTTTTCCTGCTTTGTGTTAAACATGAGTATGAAGTTTGGCTAATAATCAGTACGTTTCTCAGAGTTGGGAACACATAAACTAACTGAACTAGCTTACCTTTTGTATGGTGCTCTCTTCCCGTAAGCCTATGTCACAGTTGGTGCAGTCTTCCTCGTGTTTAACCATGAGGTATCTCTGCATCTTCTACCTTCCCCCTCTCACCATAAGAGATTCAGATCAGATGTAATCGTAAAAAACAAAACAAATTTAAATGAATGTTAAATATGATGAGATACAGTTTATTGCTGAGAAGGGGAACATCATTGCCAAGCAAGCACATCTGTAATTGTTTGGTCTGTGCTCTCTTTTAGTTTCCTAACAAATAAACTGAGCAGGCAGTAAGAAGTTTGGAGTACAGTTTGAAGGCCGGCAGTAAGCACCCTCTTTATGTGTGCTGGCTATCAGCACTGTAATGAACAGGAGGCCTAAAGGTTGATGAGGCCTGTCAGTGGCTATTTTAAAATACAACAATCACCGCTGCAATGAGCTCGAGTCCCAACGATGCCAACAGCAGTTCATTACATCTTCACATTTCATCAGAGCACGTTCTGTACAGCCTGTTAAGCTGTTTCCATCTCACTGAAGTACAAAGAGTACAAGTGTTGCATCCTAAATTCTTGAACTGCGTACTAAGCCAAAATGTGTGCTACTTCTACAAATCCCTATAAGCTAGTCTAGTTTTTAAAAAGTACATTTTTAACCAGTTTCTCAAGGTTGACATTTCTTAGTCGACGAAGATGTAACTTTTCAATTAATCTATAAGTTGATATAATGAACAGATCTTAAAAACTGAGTTTGCTCAACATTTTGAGATGTGCCAAGAAGACTGAAAATAACTCATTCAGCATAAAAAGAGTACTAGAAAATCACGTAGCAACTACAAATCTTAGTCGACTTAAGCAAAAAGACTGATTAAAGGACAATGATTGGGGAAAACTTGTGTTTATAATGTTAAAAAAAAGTTGATTTAAGGAGCTTAACTGCAACTAACACAACATGAAAAAGAGTGGAGAGAATTGAGTTTAAAAAGAGTTTTTAAAGTCTTCAAATGGAAGTTGTGAGATCCAGAAATTGAGTGTGTTTGGCATTCAATGTTTGTTAGGTGTTCAACCTGAAGGCCCCTTTAAAAAGTGATCAATCATTTTGTGTTATTGTTTTCGACAGCATCCTTTGAAAAACAAAAAAGAGTCAAGAAAACCCACAAAGTTATCCTGGGTCAAAGTATCTCTTCTTGTAAACTTAGACTTTTCTTGCAAACATAAAGATTTTCTTTAATCTTCAAACTCTTAAAGATCTCCAATCTCTTTTTTTGAACAGGAAAGTACTACATCGCTACCATGACCATGGTCACTGCATCAACAGCGCTCACCATCTTCATCATGAACATCCACCACTGCGGCCCCGAGGCTCGTCCCGTCCCACGGTGGGCCGAGCGCTTCATCCTAAACTACCTCGCCCGCATCTGTTTCGTATACGAAGTCGGTGAGAACTGCCTCGGCGGGGCGACCTCCAGCAAGCAGTCTCAGTCTGAGGAGGAGTCTGAAGCCCGAGCAGCAAACAACAGCAACCCAAAAGGAACAAACTGGGACGTGAACGGGCAAGTGTGGGCCGGGAGGGTGGAGGAGGGCGGGGCAGGGGAAGCAATGAAGCCGGGGCGGGATTCAAGCAACCAGACTGAGTGGACGGAGGACATGTTTGTGACCATCGACCACTCCGAGGAGGAAGGAGCTGCAGGAGGAACTGACGGGGAGCGAGGAGGTGAGCATGTGGAGGAAAAGAAAGGCGTAGGAGGTGAAGAGGCCGGCGGAGGCAGGAGGGAGAAAAGCGTGTGTGTGTGCCAGCACCAGGGACTACGCAAAAACATTGAGTACATTGCCAACTCGTACCAGGACCAGCGGGCCGCACAGCTGCGCATCGGGGAGTGGAGGAAGGTCGCCAAGGTCATGGACCGCTTCTTCATGTGGCTCTTCTTCATTATGGTCTTCTTCATGAGCATCCTAATCCTGGGAAAAGCCATCTGATGGAAATACGTGTGTTTACATTATGACGGACCACTGTATGTCTTACAGCTGAACCCACACACACACACACACACACGCACGCACGCACGCATGCACACACACACACACACACACAGACACACACACACACACACACACAGACACAGACACACAGACACACACACACACACACACACACACACACACACACACACACACACACACACACACACACACACACAGACACAGACACAGACACACACACACACACACACACACACACAGACACAGACACACACAGACACACACACACACACACACACACACACACACACACACACACACACACACGCACACACACACACACACTATCACGTTAAAGTATGCCACACTTTTTTATATCAAGACCTTTTGAGTGTTTCTTGACAACTTAAATGCATGCAGGGTTGTTTTTAACTCATCACGTTGCATTGTGGGGTATTTGGGACTGTGAACAAGAAGTCTTTTATTAAAGCATAACAAATATTAACATCTTTCCCCTTCATCTCGTTAATCTACTGAAGCTCAAATGACCTGAGGTTTTGAATGATCAGAATATGCATCAATGAATTCTGTGTCAATCAACTAACTGTTACTCTCAAACAAATGAAGAATACATTAGTTGTAAAATAGCAGATTTTGGACCCTGCCTGAGCTTTGCTAACTCAAATATAGATCTGTTCATATTTGGGTCACAGACGGCTCACAGTTGGTCCTCCGGGTACAGACGAGTCTGGATGGAAACCTGGAGAATGCTCTATTAAAACAAATCCTTTCTTCTAATAAAATGATAAAGCACTGCAATTATAAAAGGTTCACAGCGGACCGATGACTGAGGTTGTTTAATAATGATTCAGAGATAATCCTGCATAATTAATCCCTCACATTGTCAGCTTTGGAGCCACATGAGTTACTCATGCCATGTGTTGTGTCTGCACATACAAAACGAGTGATAATCATTGTGGTTTTCTCACGAAGGCACATATTTATTCACTGCAAGAAATGACCTTAACAAGTATTATCACCATGTGTTCAGAAGTTTTTATTTATTCAAATTAATAAAATATAATGATGCTTTTATGTTGTTGGGAGATTGGCTGAGAGTTTACACAATTTTACAAGTTTAAAATGCTATGATATATTGTCGTTTTAAAAGGAGTAAATAGCTTTGAAAGATAAACACTTCTACTCATTATAATGTCCCTATCAACACACATCTTGGTCACAATGATTTCCTGAACAAATGTTAGATTCATTTAAAATGTGTACGCTTTTTCCAAAATAAAAAAGGGTACTCGACCTTGTGAGGTAGTGTTTGTAGTCTTCATGATGTTAACACAAAAAAATGCCAAATTGTTCACTGTAACTTCTTCAATATGTCTGGTTTGTGTGGTGTTTGTCAAGAGACATATTTACACATGACACATAGTTGATTAAAGATTTCTTATTAAAAATGCTTTGTTTACTGATTTCTTTTTAGACTTCTTCCCTCAGAATATACCCACTAAGGTTGTATGGTGCTTCTCATGCAGTCCCTCTGTTTTAATACTGCTAATACAAGATAAGTCTGCAATGTATGTCAAAATAATGGGCTAATATCGAGGTAGACAGGATCATCATCATTATCAGCATATGCAGACATATAACCATTACAAAAAAATGAGATAATTACCTCCTAAAAGTCCCCGTAAGTGCTCGTTACCCTACCCTGCAGTAGCAACACGATAGCAGTAGATGGAGCTAAAAAGTTTAAAATAAATGTTAAACTCCAGCCTGCCCAAAACATATTTTCATACAATTCTCATTAAGTCCTGAACATGTATACTGAATGTCATTGTGCATTTATTTAGTCAATGACACAAACAAAAACCCATTAACAAACCTTCCTGTTAATGTATAATTTGATTTATTAAGTCACCAAATATTAGGATACCTGGGAGGTCATAGTGTTTTTTTTATATGAACTACTGTGGAGTAGACTATCTATGAGTCTGTGGGGGCTGCGGCATCGCGGCTGCTGACAGGAAGCGCCTGAACAGACTGGTGAAGAAGGCCAGCTCTGTCATGGGGGGTCCTCTGGAGGTGGTGGGAGACAGGAGAATAGCAGCCAAGCTGTCCTCCCTGCTGGACAACGTGTCCCAACCATAGACTGTATAGTCCCAACCCCCCCAGGACACCCTGTCCTCACTTCAGTGACAGGCTGCCCCCCCCGGTGTCTCACGGATAGATACCACAGGTCCTTCCTGCAGCGGTCAGGCTGTATAACCCCCCACACACACAACAACAAAGACTAAAACACTCCTGTTGTGCAATATATATATACTGTATATATTTATGCCATAAATAACTGTGCAATATACTGTATACTTCCACCTTTAATACTTTCAACTGGCTGCTATACTTTCAAAACTGTTACTGGTACTGGATGTGTATTAAGTGAATTTTAAATTGCGTAGTCTACTTATATTTTTAATATTTTATGCATGCTTGCTTATTAATACTAAGCTATCTTTGGCTTTTTACTTGCTGTAACAAATGTACATTTCCCATCATTCAAATATCATTGCAGCTAGTTCATAAGTAGCTCTTATAGTAAATATTGTTCTTTCCACAGCACTGAGACTGCTCTTGTGAAGGTCTTCATTATTAGGCGCGTTCACACCGGAGTACTTTTACCCCGTACTTTTCCCGTTTAGTTCCGTTAGTACCCCTTATGTCGCGTTCACACCAAAAAGAGTACTTAGTGCCGGGAACTTTTACCCCCATTTGTAGTGCCTGCTAGAGAGGTGGTACCAAAAAAGTACCAAAAAAGTACCAATGTGTTGGCTGGGCTGGGCGAATTGCAAACCACGCCCCGTAAAACTCTGAAAACTTTTGTGAAGCCGTCATTGTATTTGTGGCATTAGCATTATTAGCATTAGCATTAGCCCAGTGCACCAACGCAGAGAGACTAACTTATGGCAACACAAAAAAAAAACATGGGAGCGGTGGAGATGAGGAGGTGTCGGCGTTCTGGCGATTTACTCTGAAGGCTTCAGTAGAAGCTGCTGGGAGTCCCAGCAGCTTCTACTGAAGCCAGTCCCCAACTCCGGGGACTTCCGGCCGGGGACTCCGGGTGGCAGTATACGCCGTGAAGTGGTTTGCGGCCTGCCAGTAAACCCAAAGCAGAAGAAGACGAAGTGACGTCAGCGGCTCATTTGCATAATCTTCCCTCAGGGAAAAGTACTCCGGTGTGAACGCGATTGGTACTTAGTGCCCTGGGGTACTAAGTGCGGCAAAGTACTTGGTGTGAAAGCGGCTAATGACATTCACTTAAACACAGACAGTGGCAGAACTTCAGTGTTAGTATTATTAGATCTCAGTGCTGCGTTTGACACTGTTGACCACAACATATTACTAGACCGACTGGAAAACTGGGTGGGACTTTCGGAAACAGTTCTAAATTGGTAATCCTACTTAAAGGACAGAAAAAACTTTGTTTCTATAGGTAAATACACACCCGAGTTGACAAATATGACAGGTGGGGTTCCTCAAGGCTCCATCCTGGGGCCTCTTCTCTTTAACATCCACATGCTACCACCGGCTCAGATCATGATAAACAACAAAATAAGTTACCATAGCTATGCGGATGACACACAAATTTACGCAATAATTTCACCAGGAGACTATGCTCCAATTCAAACACTGAGTAAGTGCATTGAACAAATCAATGACTGGATGTGTCAGAACTTTCTCCAATTAAACAAAGATAAACTGACGTAATGGTTTTGGAGCCAAGGCAGAACGTATAAAAGTTAGCGCTGAGAAGCCAGAAATCTAGGTGTAGTCATGGACTCTGACCTGAGTTTCAACAGTCACATTAAAACAGTTACTAAATCAGCCTACTATCACCTAAAGAATATATCTAGGAATAAAAGACTAATGTCACAGCAGGATTTGGAAAAACTTGTCCATGCTTTTATCTTCAGTAGACTGGACTACTGCAATGGTGTCTTCACAGGTCTCACTAAAACATCTATTAGAAAGCTGCAGCTGATTCAAAACGCCGCTGCTCGAGTCCTCACTAACACTAAGAAAGTGGATCAGTCCAGTTCTGAGGTCTTTACACTGGTTCCTCACTAACACTAAGAGAGTGGATCAGTCCAGTTCTGAAGGCTTTACACTGGTTCCTCACTAACACTAAGAAAGTGGATCACATCACTCCAGTTCTGAAGTCTTTACACTGGTTCCTCACTGACACTAAGAAAGTGGATCACATTAGTTCTGAAGTCTTTACACTGGTTCCTCACTAACACTAAGAAAGTGGATCAGTCCAGTTCTGAAGGCTTTACACTGGTTCCTCACTAACACTAAGAAAGTGGATCACATCAGTCCAGTTCTGAAGTCTTTACACTGGTTCCTCACTGACACTAAGAAAGTGGATCACATTAGTTCTGAAGTCTTTACACTGGTTCCTCACTAACACTAAGAAAGTGGATCAGTCCTGTTCTGAAGGCTTTACACTGGTTCCTCACTAACACTAAGAAAGTGGATCACATCAGTCCAGTTCTAAAATCTTTACACTGGTTCCTCACTGACACTAAGAAAGTGGATCACATTAGTTCTGAAGTCTTTACACTGGTTCCTCACTAACACTAAGAAAGTGGATCACATCAGTCCTGTTCTGAAGTCTTTACACTGGTTCCTCACTAACACTAAGAAAGTGGATCACATCAGTCCAGTTCTGAAGTCTTTACACTGGTTCCTCACTGACACTAAGAAAGTGGATCACATTAGTTCTGAAGTCTTTACACTGGTTCCTCACTAACACTAAGAAAGTGGATCAGTCCTGTTCTGAAGTCTTTACACTGGTTCCTCACTGCCACTAAGAAAGTGGATCACATCAGTCCAGTTCTGAAGTCTTTACACTGGTTCCTCACTAACACTAAGAAAGTGGATCAGTCCAGTTCTGAAGTCTTTACACTGGCTTCCTGTGTGTCAAATAATTGATTTCAAAATATTGCTGCTGGTTTATAAAGCTTTGAATGGTTTAGGCCCAAAATATATTTCTGACCTCCTGCTAAATTA